CCACGTCAAACATCCTTTCAAAATCCTGAGCTAAGCATGTGCTGGAAGTGCTGACTGTGCAGTGTCCTGGAAGGTACTGCATCACTGTAATTGCTCTAAGTTAACTACGACCATTTTCTGAGCTGCTTATTTCCTTAATGAGAGATAAACAGTTAAACACACACTATTATTAGATGCATCTTCCTTTCATTCTTGCCTGTCAAACTTCATTGTCCTTACAAGCTTCTTAAGCTTTGTCTGCCACTTTACGTATTTACCTTCCCTGTCTTTGTCCACAGAGGTGATGGCTGCATACACCAGTCCTGCTTTCTCTTTCTGGAGCAACTGGGTCTTGCCACCTTTAACAGGCACTGCTTCCCGAGTTTGTGTGATTTCTCTCATTACAACACCTCTCTTTGTCATTTAAACCCTCTCAATAACTCAGAAGCCTTTATATCAAGAAAGTTAATCTGGTCTCTTCCTTCTTCCCCATACCCTCCTCCAGGAAATCCCTATTTATTTAATTTGTCTTTACTAACGCAATTATTAGCAGGAGTTGCCGTATCTGCTGCTGCTCCGCTGAAGGCAATAACCCCTGTAAATGACAGTTTCCAGGGGCACAGTCTCACGTCAACACTTGTGCTGGCTCGGTATGCCTTTGAATTGACAGTAAAGGCCATCTAAATAAGATTTACTGTTTAAACTTGCCATTTTTTTTCATATTTATGGGAAACTGAAGTTACATAAAAATGAACTATTTCATTCATTTATAGCAAACAAAACTTTCTTTTAATTAAACTTTTAATTGTGATGGCAGATCCTAAAATTAAAAAAAAAAATAAAAAAATCTCTGAAGCTTTAAGTTCCCTTGGTCTTTCTTAAAGGATCCCAATATTTGATCACACAAATTACCCACAGCTGTAACAAGACTACTTTCTGGGTGAGAGTAATAGCACCAGAGCTTAGAAGTTTTTTTTTTTTTTTTTTCCATTGCATCACCCAACACCATGCACAACAGAACTGAAGCATTTCCTTGCTTCTTCAAATCCTTCTGTACAAATAAATTCTCATGAAGCTTTCCACAGGGAGAAGCGCCGAAGTTTTCTACATCTTAGTATTTTTTTAGGTCTTATTACACAGGAATTTATCTTAAAAACACCTAAAGCACCAGCAAATAGTGAAAGGTAAATATTAATTATGGATTGCATAGAGAAAACAAACAAAAGCCAAACCTGATGTGTTAACATGTTGTAACAGAAATAACTAAATCTTGTGTCTCATTTCTACTAATTTTTTTAAGATTCTAATTCACAGCTCTCTGCAAACTGGAGGGTTGAAATTTAGCCTTGTATATATAAACAGATTAAAGTACCTTTTTTTCCTCTTTAATGTTTGTCTAGCAAAAAAATCTGTCTAATTTTATGGTAAGGGCAGAAGAGAAGAAGGCTGGCCAGAATGGAGGGTTTACTAACTTCATGCTCCTGTTATCAAGACTGTTACAAATATCAGTGGAAAGACAACATTTCTTTAAAGTTCATAAGCATGTAACTAAGGGCATATTTAGCAAGAGATAAACTCAAGTACATCTTTTACGCTCTTTGATGCCAGGTTTAATATACTTGAACCAATGTAATCCATAGTTTAACAGCAATTACAAGTGTTCTACAATGGAGTTCATAGCTCCTTCCTGATTTCATTGCCTTTTCACACTTATTTTTCTTCTCCAAGGAGAGCCCCATGACTGTTAGGGGAGCTTTATAACTGCAAGGGTGGATGCAGACAGAGAAAGTCAGGGCAGCAGGGTTCCACACAGCCTTCTTCCCACCGCCACCAAGAGCATCTAGTTAGGTGTGGGGAGGGAATCCAACCCATTGCCTGCAGCGTTGGCTCCTTCACCTACACCAAAAAGCACATAGATCATGTAGACCACTTCAGAAATTTAAGCTAGTTGGTTAGAAAGGTGTTACATCCCGCTCGTGATTTCCCTAATCTATTTTTCTGATGATGGCTTTTTCAGACTGAGTGCCCCCAATCAATCACCTGCAAGTGGTTGTTGTCTGTTGCACTTGAAATTTCCAGGATGTCCTTGTTTCTCTCTGGTTTTGCCCCTAATTAACAGAAGTCTTCTACAGTATATAACCTTTTAATATACCCTGTAAACCTTTCACATATAACCTCACTCTTAGCTAACAGAATAAAATAGGTTATTTGCAATATATTTGTTCATCTTGAATAGGATCAAGTTAATCACTACCAGCAGACCAAAACACATGGGAAATGAGCAATTTACCTAAGTGTTGATCCACTAACTGCTCAGATTGACAAGTATGGCCCATAAGACTAATCAAAGAATTAACATGTGAACTACAAAGCACCTGTCCTAGGATAGATTGCCATTGACTTTTCTGTGCCTTTTGCATTGATGGTAGAAGATTTGATTTGAGGTAAAGACTATTTGGAGACCTTGAAAATGGAAAACAGTGCTTCATTCTCTTGAAACCAGAGAGAACTCAGTTTGGAGAGCGCAAGGAGAAATAGCTATTACCATTGTAAATAAAGACTTCATTGAATTACAGGACTTGAAAGATCGTTTTGAAGGGTTAGCCAAGTTTTTTCCCCACACTAAATAAAATAAATAACATTTCTAACCTCAGTGAGAACAGCATGGGTGGGAAATGATAGTCTATCCAAAGTGGAGAATTCTTTGCAGAATTTGATCAGTTACAGAGGGAAAGTGGGTGGAGACAGTCTACAGTTAGGCCAAAAAAAATAAAAGCTGTTCAGAGTAGCAACACAGAAAACTAAAATGGTAATTTAAGATTATGCAATGCATTGGTGCAACAGCAATGTGGTGGTAAAACACTACAAAATGCAGTGCAGATAAATATAGACAATACAAAGAGAACTGCCAATAATAATAATTAAAAGGAACAGAAACCAAAACCTTCACTTTTTTTTTTTTCTTTACCATGCTAGTTTAACTTCTATCTCAGTCTCTGCATAAATCAATAGTAATAAAGCAGGCCAGATTTTCACCCCTCAGAGGTTATATTTGTCAAACAGCAACTGACCTATGGTATTGAAATTTCATGTTACTCTTTGTTATCTTTAAGCAACTGAGAAAAGACTGATCAGGCAGACTGAAATCAGTGGTAATAGGTCTATCTGCCTCAAAATATATTTTATAGTGGCCGAGAGAAAGACAGGCATCAGCTCAAGGAACATGTTTGCTGGCACAAGTCTAATGGGCAGTCAGGCTGTGCTTTGTGTAAAGTTAGGATGTGGTACAGACTGTCTGCTTATCAAGTAAATATTTTGAAGAAAGGATGAGATATTTGTCAAGACTAAGAGCAAAACCTTTTATTTGAGGTTCAAAATTTATCTTCCAAAATATTATTTAGAATTAGACCTCTTAGGAATATAAGATGCTGAACCAATACATTACAATGGCTGAGCAAAAACTGGGAACTCCAGCACAAAGCTTGTGCTTTGGTATTAAAACAAACAAACAAACAAAAAAAACCACCACAATCAAACAAACAAAACCAACAGCACACACTTTTCCATCAGGACTAAATGACTGGTAAGAACCAGCAAAACATTTTGCATTGCCATCTGGAATATTTAGCTCTGTGATATCTTTCTTATCACAATTTCAAATATTTCAATACTTTTTTAATATGTGCAGAGACAACAAATCAGTACTGCAAATGCATGTAAGTGTTCAATAATCTATTCAAAGACATTTTGCAAAATATTAATTAGTGAAGACTATCTAGATATCTTTGGGTAACAAAATCACAGTTACATTATCACTGATCCTGGGCTCTACACCCAAGAAGACTTGGTCGCACACTTGTGTTCACATTAGAAGAGAAATGCACCAGCTGAAAGCCAATAGAGTGAACACCTGAAGCAAGATACCAGCTTGTCTGTGCAGAGCACAGGCATGATAAGTAGTGGAACATATTCCACTATTTCAGAAGGCAGTACAACATGGCAGCAGCACCATATAATTTCAAAGTTTTACTGTAGTAGTCATTAGTTTTATGTTCAGTAACAAAAATAACCAAGCATTTCAATGACAAGTGGACATGACCTGAAACAAAGTGAAGCTTTGTTTTACAGAATTACTCAAACTGATTCTAGATTGCCACAGTCTGTAGGCAACTACCATATGATGCTTCCAAAGGCTCAAAAAGTCTGCAAAGGTTTTTGACATGTGTCTGCTTAGACATCTAACTGCAGTGAAGAACATGCAATTGTTTCTGCTGGAAGTAATAAATGCTTCACTGGAGTGACGTTTCTGAGACAGGCTGAACTCCTTTGCTTCCTAGTTAGCATAAGTAATCTCAAGGTCAAGTACGTAACAGTTTGGAGTCTGTTACCTTAGCTTAGACACTCGTTGATCTAAATCCTCTTCCTTCTCCTCCTGCTGTGTCTAATTAAAACACTAAGCTTTAGGTTGCAGCTCACACTGTGCCTGAAATCAGATCACCCAGCCCAGATCTCATCTTCGTTGAGCACAATTGGAGGGAGATCAAAACAAATCAAATGCCTGAGTACAAGATGGGGGTGGAGAGATGGAGCAGAGCAGAGCGCCTCCTCGGAGAACTAGGCAGCTGGGCAGACAGAAATAGATAACCTCTCTGTTCACCCGTGAGGCAGCAGGGTTCTGCTAACACAGGATGCCTCACCTCACCAGCTCCCTGGCTGTCAGGTGAGGTTCACCTGCATCAGCCAGCCTCCTCACCACACGCCTTCTCCTGCCCTTCTGCCTGGCCTCACCTGACAGCCTCACCAGTATCTCTGCCTGCCTAGCCTCTTTCCGCTACCTCCATTGAGACCCTCCCTGTGGTTATCTCCTGGTCTTGGTATAACACCTATTCACCCACATCAACAGGACACTATATGCACACTAGACTGGTATAATTTCTTCTAAATTCAAACCACAGGATCTTGTCCTATCAGCTTCTTGTAATTCACTTTGCTAATGATACAGTTTATAGAGAACAGATTACCTTGGAATTATTTAGAGTCCTGATGATTCACATGGCTCCTCAGTTCTCACTTGTGATGCTTCTGGTTCCCTGAATACATACAATTAGCCCTTCATTCTCCTTCCATGTATGCTATCATCTGATCTTCTATTTCCTCTTTTCTCAGTGTTATTTAAAAGATGACTAAAATAGTCATTATTGTAGATGTTGAGAAGTAGTATCTAAGAAGGAAAAACAGAAAGTACTTAAAGAAAAATACAAAATGGCATAGATGAATATCTGAATTGGGAAATAATATTTTTGTTAGTCTTACAATAAGTTCCAGTGGTGGGTCTGAGTTGAAGAACAGTTTGTTTAACTCAGGCAGATAACTTTAAACAAAATCATACATTTTACTACATCTGGACAGATTACTGTTACACATATTTTAATATACCCAGATCCAACTGATCTTTTAAAGGAACACAGGGTGTCCTGAAATCTGGCATTAGAAACCACATCTGCACTAACCTAATTTCCGGTGAGAACTTAGTTTCAGGTTATAATTCTTGTTCTTATTTGTTTTGTCCTTAGCACTAACTAGAATATCCATGCAGATACAGCAAACTAGTAACAGGTGTAACCACTATCAACCTCTCCCCAAGACCATATGGAACCGATCACCCTTTAAGGATCTCATTAGAAAAAAATTCAAAAGAAAGGGTGGAGGAAAAGAATCCAGAGCTCACAGCTGTTTTCTAACAATCTGAGTTAATGTTCTGACTCTAGAGCTTGTGGTGCATGCTAATCTATTAATTTGTTCATAGTCTCACAAGGTTTTTCATGCCTTGGCTGAACTTTTAACAAAAATTGTTTCATGGGCCCTTCCCATTCACAGTGACAAATTTTCTCCATGACAACTACCACAGATTCTCCTACTGAATAGTAGTACCATCATGTAAGTATTTGTATTTTAATGCAGTTTTGCAGCCGGAATTAAAGAGGTAAAAAGCCAGTACCATACAGTAATAGCTAACTGTACTGTTTAGGAATCTTGCTGAGCAGAATCCCCTACATGATAAACTACACAGACAGTAAGATTAAAAAAAAATTAAAAAAAAAATCAACCATCATCCAACATTCTTATTCAGTCTCCACCTAAAGCACGCAGCGGAAACATGCTTGGAAGAAAACTTGCAGCTGAGATGTAAGGGATATGTAATAACAAAGAACTACGAACACCCTGCTACAGTATTCGATTTCCTACAACACACTTATTTTAAAAGGAATCTTAACCTGAGATGTTTTACTCCATCAGTTGTAAAATAATACGTGTACTGCAAGTATTCAGGAAAAGAACAGTGAGGAGATTAACTTGGCTTTTGTCTCTGGCAAGCCATTTTTTCTTTTGCATCTATCCATGACCCTGTGGCAATTAAGGGAAAAAGGCTGACTAGTAATCCAAATAGGAATTTATTCCCAGCTGTTTCTTTGTTTCATTAAATAACTCCACCTCACAAGTATCTCACATGGTAAATATTACCTGTATTCAAAGGTTTCATATACACAGCTGATGAACTACCTAATGGAGTAAGGTACGCAGATGTTAAGTAACACAGACCTCTACTTTGCAAACAGTCATGACTATTTGTCATGACTTATGCTCAGCAAGGTGCTCCTCAACAGATGAATAGCTTCTCAAATATTAATTACTCCTTCACAGAATGAAAATGTCAGTCCAGTTTCAAGTCATTATTTCTTTTAATTGGCGTGGTGTGCAATATTGACCTGCTAAAGACACTAACTGAGTAATTCTAACTTGAAAATAATCAAGTATTTCCCCCATGAGTATTATTTTCTAGAGTACTATCTGAAATAGACTCACAGATCTAGTTCATGTTTTTTGAGTGACTCAGATGGGTGGATGCAAAGTTGCAACAGCAAAGGGATGCAGCCTTCTGTAATAAAAAATACAGTATGTATTATCAGAGTCTCTTGTGTGCAATACAAGCTCAGGAGTCAAGAGTCCATTCCTGATTCACTAATTTAGCAGAGAATATTGCTAAACCAGCTTTGTTAAGGTTTCATAGAGATTTCTGAGGAATGGCCAGGCTTCATAAAATGTATGAAATCTATCAAATGAAGGTATCTAACCACTGGTTAAAAATACAAAACAATCTGTAAAACATCTCTAATGTTCTATGTGACCCACCTTTTCCTTCAGTTTTGTGATTCAGTTTTCGTGCAGATGATTGCTCAGGAAGCTGAAGCCACAGATGCGAAACAGCCTGAAGCCATCAGATGCTTACCTAATGCTGGCGAGCAGAATCCAGCTTAGTGTGTTGGCACCAGGATGACACAAGAGAATTGATTCCAGTAGCTGACTCACTGTTGGCTTTAGGCGTAGTACAAAATGTATTGTTTTGAAGAAGGCTGGATCAGAGTTGTCTGTTCCATGGTGCATATGTTTGTTGAACTTCTCCAAGGCCGGTACAGTCAGAGACAAAGCTGATCTTGACAGTACCTTGTAACATCAACCACGTGATTCTTTTAACAGAATCAAAGATTCTGTTGTCCTTTAGGACAACAACAGGAAAATTTTGCACTTACTATGTTCCTTACAAATCAATGTAATAACCACTAATTCAAGTTGATACATAGCAGATGGGAGAGGGGATTGCACTGGAACAGGACCTGAAGATATTCACACTTTAAAGGCTGCAACCCACAAGACCTGCAGCAACAACCAAGGCTGCCCCCATGAACAGCAGGGGTATGGAGGCTCAGTGGAGACTGCTGGGGATGTGGTGCTAAGAGTCACTACTATTGAAAACTTCAAATAGCACTATCTGGGCTGGGTGATCTGATTTCAACACAACAAGGTACCTTTGATTTGTTCATCAAAAAGATGCACTTCTTGTAAAGCAAGCTTCTGCTTCCCCTGAAAGCAGTCAGCAAGCTGCAAACCTGTATTTGGAAATTATCCTTTCCCAGCAACAAATTCTACTTCCATGTGTATTCAATTATTGCTTCAACTCAGCAGCCAGGAACTGAGTAAATTAAGAAGGTAGAAATAATTCACCTTTTCTAGAATTGTGAACTAAGCCCCATTTTACTTAAGGTATTCAACAGCCTCCAAGTAGCAAGAACTTCTTCTGGTTGTGAGCAGCTAGCAGCTAGTAAATGTGTGATGAAAGCCCAGGGAATCTCCACAGACCCTAGTGGAAATGAATCTTGCAGGAGCACGTACACAGTAACCTTGTACTGATTTCATCATCCCTCAGCATTAAATCCAGGACAGAGAAAATTCTCTTTCATTCTTTTCTCCCAGTGTAAGGCACTTTTTCCTTCTCTACAAGGATGGGCTTTCTACTGTATTTTTGTTCCTAGAAGTAATCTCTGCTTAATTTTCTCTCTGTTTCACTTAAAGTCCCGAGGAGCTGCAGTACAGTGTACTCCAATTTTGGCAAATTTTACATGCAGCTATATTCCTCTGCCAATCCATGCTGCAGGATTTCATGCCCATGAACAATAAGATCTTTTTTTGTGGCACATACATCCTCCACTGACACATGCCCTTTCTTTATTCTGTCCCTCTTTCCTGTGCACTCAGTGGTATATCCTCTGTGCACTTAGTTATTGCTTTTGCCAAGCTGTAAAAAAAAAAAAAAAAAAAAAAAAAGAAAAAGAAAAAAGAAAAACCACACACACTCCCAAAATAGAGTTAATCCTTGTGTTTGCTCTCCCTTTCGCCAGACTGCCTGCTGGCAAAAATTCCCATCCATGTTCACTGGTATGCTTTCTTTGGCTGCTGGTATCTTGGGAACATCTCAACAGCTGGATTTTGTGCAAACCTATATTCATATGATCTCATTATATTCTCATATATGGACATTTCCAAGATGAATGTGCTGAAGAATGCTTTCTCCGATGGTAATCAGTTACTGACTAACTTTCCAGAAGACAAATAGGTTCGTATATATCATATTCTATTTGCTGTTCCCAAATCTTCTCTCTTAAAATGAAAAATCTACTTTGCAATTTAATGATTTCTGTCACATCCCCTGATATATATATATATATATATTTGTATCTCGTGTTACTAGTTAAGTGCTCTTCCTCTGTAGCTTCATTCTGAGTGCTTATGAATTAACAAAAATCATCTTGGGCAATTACCCAAGACCATCAAAATTCTTTGGACAGGTAGTCCTACTGAAATACAAAATCTTACTTGGCATAAGAGTTCCTTCTGGCTGCATTTCCCTGCAGCAGAAAGAACTCTCTCACTATAGAAACAATCCCTGGAGTATGATATTAGAGAAAATCCTCACTATTTTATTTAATTCTCCACGGATATCAAACCAGCACTTCAGTACAGTTGAACATAACACTATTTGACAAATAAGATGCAAATAAGGTTCCTTGGAAGACCTGAACTGTTCCAGGAGCCTGAGCCTAGTTCATGAGGAACCTTGAGGACACGTGCTGTAACGGGAGGCGAGTGACCTCAGCAGCGGTGGTCTGGAAGGACAGTTCCAAGATTTGCTAGTGTGCTGAGGGGAAAACAAATTCAATGTATGTTCATTGCTTTTTTATTATATAGTGTAAAGCAGAGCAGAAAACATGCAGAAAAGCATCCATGAACTGGCTTCCTTTGCAACAGACAATTCTGCTTGAGAAATGTATTTAGTATAAAAGCAAAGTTAATGGACAAACACATTCAGAAAACAGAAATCAACTATTTTAAAATGTTCTTCTTCTGTCCCCAAATCTCCTGTCTCCAAAGTGTTACACAGGGCTCTCACTCCTGCTGGTGAGCACCACAGTTGTAAAGAAATCACCAGGACAGCATTTGCATTTCCTCAGTCTGTTTAATTACTTCCACTTCTCCACCAGTCTCAGAACAGACATCGTCACAGGCAAAGCACGATAACCTCTCACTTCAGAATTCACAATCTACCACGTCAGCATGTTCAGCCCTTTGTCGTATACAAGCTTTGCAATTCATTCCTAACTTGATCTGTGATAACTATTCCTTGCTAAAATAAGAATATAAGAATATATATATAATAAGAATATATAAGAATTTTCATATAAATGTGGTTTTTTACTCAAACACCACAAAAAAATTGACAAACAAAATAATTATTAGTCATGTTTGTTGTTGTTTGTTTTAAGATGGGTTAAAGGATCGTTAATTTTCCTTCAGAAGTATAAACTAACTATCTGCAAACTGGGAGACATGACCAAGGCTGTACCAGGAATTTGTGGTGGACTTGGGATCGGAGGTCTAGCTCCACACACCACCTCATGTCATATGTTAACACTTAGCAGTCAACTCTCAAGACAGTTAACATTTAATTAAGACCCTGCTCAAAATCAATCACATAATTTTTGCACATAATGCTATTTTTGCACATAATGTTACACAGTGTAACCTATTTCAAACACCTTCCCAACTGAGAAGATCTCAGTGGGCTCATCAGGAGCTCCTATGATGCTTTCTGAACATGAGGCACCACAAACAGTTACTGCCTCCCACAGTGCTGCCACACTCCAGCCAGGTCACTCCAGGACTTTTACCTGCCCAAAAGAGGTTTTTCTGCAGTCTTAAAAAGGAACACACAATGAAAAAAACACTGTGTTTTCACAACCCTAAAGATACTGTGTTTTCCAGTATTCCTGCTTTCCCCGCCCTAGGGAAAGAAACACCCAAAACCCCTTCCTCTTCTCTCACTTCTTCTCTAGCCCCATTTGCTGCATTTACAGGATTCAAAGCTCTTCAGCACATTCCAGTTGTAGGCTGCATAAATAAATAAGAGTAAAAACTTTGGGCAGCTTGGACCATTGCCAGCTTGCCTGGGTAAGTGGACTTTTTGTGGAGCTGGAAGGGTGTTTTTTAGAAGGAGGGAAGAGAAAAAGCACAGCCTAAGAATCTTGGCTCAGCCTGAACGTATTTCCTCCTAGCTCTGGCTAAACATCAGCACGAACGGCAGGACGGACAGAGGAGTCTATGTAGAGCCGGGGAGGGAGCCTGCCGTGCTCTCCACCAGAACTACGACAGAGTGTGGAGGCTTTGAAACCATGCTTTTCATCTGGGCGCTGGCGTTTATTGCAGTGCTGCAGGAGCGGGATCTTTTAGGTGAGTGATTCCAAGCTTCTCAAGCAGAAACTGTGGCATGGTGAAAGCCTTTGCATGGGGTGCGTGGGGGAGACACGGAATTGCCACCACTATGGGTTTTATATGAAGGTGACACAGGTATGTGTCAGAATTCTGTGGGAATATTGTTTTTTAACAGAAAAAAAAAACCTCCAGTGTTGTGCTACTCAAGTCCATCCCGAAGGCATACTGCACTGTTAGAAATTTTTCACTACTCATGGGCGACTATCACTGTATCTTGAGAAAATTACAGCCACATTCACGTGCTGCATCCAGTGCCCTGCAACTCCATAATTACTGCTTTGGAGCCTTAATAGCATGCACACTAATCCACTCAGAAATGAAATCAAAGTTCAAGGTGAATAGAGAAACGTTTTCCTTTCTACAAACCCTTCTTTATAGAGCTGCTGTTAACAGTACTGTATTTTTTTCTCTACTGCTCTGTATTACTTATTCCTGAGATTTCTGAGACAAATATCACCTCCTTCAAATACCTTAGAAATAAGTATAAACGGACAACTTCTGATAAACTGGCATCTAAATTTTATTTCATTAACAGCAGGTCTGGCACTAGGCTAACCCGTAATCACATTGCAGCTGATGGTGTGACTGAAAGCTATTCTGTTTAGCTAGTACAAGGTTTATAGTCCCTGTGTTACCACAAACCTGGCTACGCAGCCTGTTTGTATTATGTGTTTTCTGCTAGCTGAGGCCCCTCATCATTTTCCCTCTGCTCAGACTTCTTGACAACATACAATGTTTGTATTTCATGGCAGGGTAGTGAGTTTCCATTACAATCAAAACATTTCCCAAAAAACTGTTAGTCCCTTTTCCCCAAAGTCCCAGTCACCCTTCCTTGCCCTGTTTCCTTCCCATGCAGCTGGTTTTATAACATTTAACAGTGATGAACTGAACTATCAGTCCCAGCAAGGGCACTCTGACTTGTTTTCACCCCGTGAAAACTGCTAGAAAACTGGTTTTGTTTATTCCCAAAGAATGTCATTTGGTCTAAGCTGAAATCATTAGCAAGCTTAGGTAAAACTTAGCCAAATAAAATAGTATTTGAATATCAACTGCAGCGGAGACGACTACCCAGTGTTATGCCAGGTGGTAACTACTCAGTTAAGGAATCATTTTCACTGTCCTAGCAGAGTATTTTGTGTAAGATGGAGAAGATTGGAAAAAAAAAAAAAAAAAAAAAAAAAAAAAAAGAAAGAAAAAAGAACCCAATCTCAGAACAGCTGTTGCCAAAGAGGCAGAAAGGGGATATTTTCTTGGGAGGTGGGAATCTATGGTCCATGCTGGCCCTGGACCATTTTCTTCAAGTCACACTGAGGAAGGATTTGAACTTGTGTCTGTCACAGCCAGGTGAGTATCCTGACTGGCTGACAGCCAGCATCCCTGTTCTCCCTTTGCTACCTTTGAGATGGCGAATCTGACTTTTGATTTCATTACAGATACTTCCCCTGACCGCTCTCCACCACCCCCATGATTCATCCATTGTTTTTTCCTGTTCTGTTTGGCAACAGTTCCTCTTAAAAATGCTTTGAGGATGGCTAAAGTAGAGTTTATGTTTTAATTCAGCCATTAGTAGAAACAATTTCATATTCACAGAGCTCAGACTTCAAACAACTCAAGATGAGGGGCTAGCATGGGTGCCCTTTTGGATTAATCACACACTCTGAGTTAATGGCTGCAACTTTTCATTCCTTGCTGTTGTTGGTAGGTTAGTTTATGGGGTGCTGCTGCTACTCAAACATAGCATTTAACATAGCCAGAGGCACTGGACCATTCGATGCCTGCCCCATTTAAACATGCTTGCATTCTTACAACAAGCTCTGGGCAAATTGTTGTGAGGGTGCAACACTCCAACAGCACAGTCTCTCCCATGTGTTTATTATGCATGGCAGAGAGGTGACCTGGAGTCCTTGGGTAAACAATTATTTGACAATCAGGTAAACAGGCTGGGCCCCATGACATGCTCCATTTAGATGAGCAAACTGAGTACTGAGCATGCTACTGGGGAGAGCAACAGGAGAGCTTCAGGGGAGGCACTGCTGCTCAATACTCCACACTGTGGTGTGATTTGTTTTTAAAAAGCAGAAATCCATTTGGTTTTAACTGTAAGTAAAAGTAAACTAAATATAATGTTTTTTCTTCATTCAGCTAGCATAGTATGACTTTTCAGAACATCTGGCATTTTCTGGAGTGAAAAGGGCTGTTATAAAGGAGATATACAGCAATCCGAGGCTGACTAATGACTAGAAATTTCAGAGAAAAAAAAAGAATATACACCTTCAGAACAGCCTATTTTTTTCCCAGAACTGACTGCTTGCTTTCTCATAGCAAGTATTTTGGCTCTAAGAGATTAAACTACTGTATTTTGTAACTAAATCCACAGTAAAACTTATGAGAGGTACCATCTGAAATCAGACTTACGTGTATATGTGTGTATATATATATATATTAATAAACCACTGATAGTTTAATCTACACCCCACATCACTTGTATTTTCTGTACTTATGGAAAACTACAGCCATTATCATCTCCAATTCAAAGATAAGTCTTTGTAAACACCCATCTCCGGGCTCCAACAAGGAAGAAGAAAATGTTTGTCACAAAGTGTGCCCAGATGTAGATGTGTTTCTTGAGAACACGAGGCACCTGAATATAGGGTTTCAGTGTAGAAGTGAGCCCTTATACAGATTTTACGTATCTGCAAAACCCTATGTTTTGTTATATTTAGTTAAAAAGGTATTTATTGAGTTATCTGGACTCCATGTGTAAATCAAAAGTTATTATCAAACTCCAAGGAAGCCAGGGGTCTGGAAATACAGGACTCCTGCTGTTCATCTGCACCATCTGTATTTATAAATCCAGCTGATCTGCTCTGGGTGAGGCAGTTGTTGGTCTTGGCCATGAATGCTGGGATCTGGTATGCTTGTGTATCTATCACTATTCTACTTCCTGAGCTGTTGCAGTACATGTGAACTGTTTGCCACAGGAGAACACAGCCTTGGTCATATTCCTAGGATTTTTTTATTTTTTTTTTTCATATTTGGACAAAACTACAAGGATTGTCTTTCATTGTACTATCATATTTCTTTCTGCTGCCATAACTTACTCATATGCAAACTACACAGCCACAGAGCTGACTAATAAGTTGCAGGCTCACCTCACACCTCGCTCCCCATGATCATAGCTCCTATTACTACACACAGACCAAAAGCCACATCCTCGTAAATTTGAAGAACTCTTTATCCCCAGATACCACTTGGCCATCTTGATATTTATGGTAGCATCAAATATTCACATATCTCACCTACTCCATTCTCAAACAGGACTTAAGCTCACTCATTTTACATAACTTACATTCTTAACATATGCTTCAACACAGCTCCTCTTCTTCCTAAAACAGCTCATACTCTTCTCCATACACAGGTATCTCCTATGTGGCTGCTAGCTATTCACATCTGACACTTCATCTTAATTTCCAAAACAAACATATATACATACATAAATAATGCATAATAAAGGCAGACTTTTGTTTGCAGCCCAAAACATTGGGGTAGCCTATCCTATGCTACAGAATGAATTAAGAGTAACCTACCTGCAAATTACATAGGCTCACTTCTCTTTTCACTCTGATTTCCTGTAGTCATTTTCCATTGCAGCAGCAAGCACAAGAAGATATTCCCTGGCTGTTTGTTCAAAAGATCAGCATGTTGGAAACATATTCCAAAACAGCATGGGAACTTTTTATTGTTATCTTCCTTCCTTTAAATAAAAATACACAAAACTTAAGTGTTTCTTACAATGACTAGTACAGTAACACAGAAGAGAAGTAGTTTTTCAAGTAGTACTTTTGCTTCTGGCAAACAGGCATAGCTGATTTTGCTGTGCCTGAAACAAAGAGCATGCTCTGATAGCACACGGTTATCCCTGGCTTTGTATACTCTCAGTCTCCACTGATGTGCAAGTGAGAGCTGCAGATCCTGTGTGAAATGAGAATCACGATAGCAAGAACTTCATCCAAAGGAAATAGTTTCATGCAGAAATACACAGCAGCCATCTCCTAACCAACTATGATTTCTGCCAATTCCCACCTCTCATTTTGAGTATTTCACACACGTAAGTGAGGCACGTCAGGACCAGAAGAAGTCACAACATGACACTTCACATGTAAGTTGATGGGCAGACAGGTTAGGAAAGTGGTAGGCTAATATCCTGACCATCTTCACCAATGCAATATATACCACTATGCATGGTATTTCCTTTTTGGTACTTTTCTTTCAGGGAAAAAAGAATTAATTTCAACCATAACTGATCTAGGATCTGAAATAACATTCATAGTGGCATGTTCTATATCTTGATAAACAAAGTATAAACCTGCAAGTTTGGAATCTGACTTTTGATATGGCTATTCAGTTTCCAAATTCAATATTAAAAATAATCATTTTAATGGAAGAGACTTATTTCAGAATGTTCCATTATTACAAGAGGCTCATGAAAATTTGATACCAGAAGAATCCCTTGGATTTCATACCATTTTTGGATTCTTACGAAGACTTGGTACTCAGAAAGAGGTTTAAGTACACAGGTATACAGTGAATGTATAGATTACAGCTTAATTCCTAATGAGGGATTGAAACTTCGTACACTGTTGAAAAGATTAAAAAAAAATAATAATCAATTCCAGAAGAGCTTTCTATTTTCAATTGCTTGTCCAATATTCCATGCCTACCTTCCATCTCCTATTAAAGATATTCCCCACTGTGTGCACTGTATGGAATTTTCAGTGTGGTTCTGCCATAAAAGCTACAGCCTAATAAAGGTGTGTGTACATATACACTTACAAACACACATTTTTGTATATATATATATATACAAAATTTGTTTCTTTGCTTATATATATGTATAAGCAAAAAACCAAAATCTGGCAGTTGCCTCCAGAGTGAAGCATAGCAACGTATGACCAAAT